TTCCCATCGTGGTAACTGAGTCACTGAATACAAGTGTCAGAGTGTGTGTGTGTGTTGGTTGTGTGACTGAAATTGACAGAACTGGGACATGGACGTGTCAATGAACTGTGTCAACGAACCCAAGTGGTTTGATCGAGAAATGTGTCAGGTTTTGCCATGTACTTCACTCCAGGGTTTCCGGTGAACGTTCCAATCCAGCAAACTTTGGCGTTTGGAGGGATGGCTCTGGCCCTGCGTTTGGGTTGAAGAAAGACAAACTTCTAAGAGAAGCAGGGTTCCTGGGGTTCCTACCTATTTGCAAGCATATATAGAAGCTGGATGACATGATGCTACCATGCTTAGCATTACTTGGCTCCTTGTTCATTTTTTTCTACTTCAGGTCGTTCTTCCGTGTGCTCTCGTGTTCAGGTGGTAGATCGAAGCGCACAGGAGCTCTTTACGTTGAGCCCTGCGACCGAGAAAAAGGCGGGCGGCCTTAGGGCCTTAGATTATGGTCAACCTTTGGTTGTCAAATCTGGTCAGTATTTCGTGCTTACTTGGCTAACCTTTATACCTTTTACATTCTTTTACAGTGGGGGATTGACTTGATCCCACGACAATCAGAGATTTTTCAATTGACAATCAGAGAGTCAGAATACAGTTTTGTCCCACGACTTCGACACGGCCGGTGCCGACGGCCGGTGTTTTCAACAGATTGTACACGACTCGACAATACCCAAGTGATCCAGTAGCGTGACATGAAGATCACCGGGTTTCTTCCACCAATCATCAAACGTTGCTCCTAGGTCCTAGACCACGGCCTGCAGGTGGAACTCTCCTGTGGTGAATTTGAGGGATCTCCTCCAACTCACCGAGGTGCAACTGGACCCTCCAAGCCTACACTGACTCCAATCACCTTAGAGGCTATGTGGATCCATATAATATCATATATATATATAACTATTTTTGTAGGGATTCGGGTCCCAAAAGTCATCAAGAGGGGAATGCGCTGAACTTTCCTTCAACTACGTTTTGCTGAACTGCGGAGTGTGCAAAATACCACGTGGGTTTTGGTATGTGTATGGTAGGGGATGGTCCGGGGCTTGAATATATCCCACTAATATTGGATGGTTCTTGAGATGCTTTAAGGCTCAATGTAGGTAAGCATTCCGTACATGGAGTGGGAGTCTTTGGGATATGACAAAGTGAGAAGCCCGGCAACTCCCATCCCCAAGAGCGCGAACAGTTCGCCGCTGTGAGGCAGAGCAGTTGCAACTTTTGGCCAAGGATCTGGCTGAGAAGCATGCAACATCAGAGAGTTCCCCTGCGGCTTCTGAGGAGATTCCGCTGGTGAGCTACGACCTTTTGGGATGAAGTGTTTGTGGAGGTTCGTGCACCGGCTCAGTTTTCGTCATCATGTAGACCAGTTTTGGAAGACCTGACCTGATCGAGTGATATGACAGAACTGCCAAGGCTGACACACCTATCTGATACGAGAAACCAAACCTCCTTAAGCGAAGGTCAAAGCAAGCGGCTTGCCCTGCAGGCTTGCATGCCCAAACCAGATAGACTTGCTTACAACCCCTCGCCGGCACTCGGGAGCGATGGCGAGCCGTGACACGCCGAGCCGTGCCCGTGGAACAGGGAGCCGGAACGAGCGAAAAAGACCGTGTCGGTCATCAACCCTTGAACCATAACCTGGCGCAGAGAGATTCGCCCGAATCGGCCCGAAGCATGTGAACAAAAAGAAGAGGATGCTGTGACCAGTTCCAAAAGAACTGGTGCCCACGGGCGTGCCACATGGGCGCCCCAGCCGGGGGTGCCACGTCTGGGCAGTTCTTCGTCGTCACCCGCAAAAATGGAACTTTGGGTGGGTTTGGTGTCAATCTCCAAGTGGAGACTCTGTTGATGAAAATCACCCCTCTCAGTAGCCCTCCCATATGATCCCATCTGAATGAGGTTTGCCTGAAACTCCATGTTTGAGGGGAGGACCTTTATTCATGAAAAACAGTCCAATATAGTGCTGTAGGGCTATAGGTCAACTCCAATTGTCCCGCTGGTCAGGCTTGGACGAAGCAAACTGATGAGAGGGGCCAGCTTCTTCCGACCCCTAAGACTCCGCGATTGCCGCGATTCTCCGAAGAGGGAGGGGGGCAGCGACATGTAAAAGTACAAACCAAACAAGATAAGCCCAATGTTTTGAGGATCATGTTTGGAACCCTTTTGACTCTAATTGACTGGTCTATGGGTACCCATATGGGTATAGTCCATGTTGCAACCACCATTGGACCTCTAACTGTTACTGTACCTGCTTTTCCGCTCAAAACCGCTTGATGCAGCCGCCGTTCCAGGAGAAGCCGCCCAGCTCCCGATCGCTGGAGAGCCCCCGGCGGCGCGCACGGAAGGCCACGACCTTGATCTTCGAGAACGAGCTGCTTCTCGGAGCGAGTCCAGCTAACCGACGCGAGTCGGTACCTCTTCGGAGACCGGGGGAGGGGGGATTGGAAAATGGATGGGGCGGGCAGGTGTTTCGGAGTCGGTTCCTTCTTTTTTTGGTGCCACTGTGTGAAGGTCAAGGTGGACATCCTTGCTCGTTGTACACTACACTAATTAGACATGGGGGTGGGGGAAGAGCCATTGAGTGATCCTTAAAACGGATACTGTATAGATACTGTATATAATTATAGATAGATATATAAACATGTTCCTCCCTTTGATCATTTTTTTGGACAGCGCTGTTTCTGTATGCTTCTGCTGATCTTCTACCTCGATCCCTGTGGGGACCACTATGCATTTTTTTCCAGACGTGCTTGTTCTGAGTCTGTTAATATTCTTGACATAAGACGCTGGTTGTTGGCGGAAAGTTGGGGGACACAACCATTGTGAAGTACTTGTTTCAGGCTTGCTTCAGGTGTGAGGCAAACTACAAGAGAATCAATTCACTGTCATGCGGTCAAGTCAATTTCCCTTGAATGATCGTATTTATATATATATATTATTTAGAAAGGAACACCGTTTGTTTTGATCAATGATTCAACGTTCTGGCGGTGCGATCGACTGGAGAGTCCCGAGATTGCGTGACACGGGGCTACACTGGAGAGGTCTTTGTTGCGTCCTTCTCTTGCGGGTTTGCCATCTGCATGATGGGTTGATGAGCTTCATCAGATGTCCATTTCTGATGGAACACTGCGAAGTGCTTTTTTGTTTATCCCGTGTCAAGATTATGAATTGTTCGCATGGAAATAAGTGAGATTGGTGGTTAACTAAAGAAGTTTTGGACCCGACCTGGCAAGCCTGGACAATTCGGGCAATCTCCAACAGGGGCTCTAGTTTAAGTAGTGACGACTGTCCACAGAAAGCCTTGCACAAAATCAGGTAATGTTGCCCTGAAGACACCATTGACGGACGGTATTCTCCAATATTCTCCACCAATGAGGATGTCTTGTACACAGACCACCCTAATTAGTCCCTCCATGTATGACAGCACAAGAGTTGCGTCACACCGTCCACGATCCTCCAGCTCTCAGCTTCGGTTCAGATCACTCGGCAAACCGATGAACTTCATCCAACGCTTCCATTGCCCGTGCGAAATGGCGTGGCGTGCTTGGGCGTCCGTCTCGCACCCTTTCGCACCCGTCTCGATGGCCTAAGGATGTTGAGAAAGGCTGTGAAGCTGTTAGAGTCACAACAGGAGGCCCGGTCTGAAGACCGCTCCCGGTCTTCACGGCCCCCGCGCGGCGCGCTAGTAGCGGCGCTTGCGCGTACCGGTCAGAGGGTGGCGTCGGTGTGCTTGGACTTCCTTTTCCGTCTCCTGGGCTTCATCCAATAGAGAAGTTCGGGCGAAGAATGGCGAAGAGGTGATGGCGAAGAATGGCTTTGAGGGTCCGGACGTAATTCCCTGGTCAAAAGGATCTCCCTCCATCAGGAGGGGAGGAAGTCTACATATTTTATCATATGCTTGAGCGAAGCAGTAGTAGGGCAAACCAAAGCCCAAGAACTAACGACCTTGTTGGTACTTGTAGAATATCTCCTCCATCACTTGCAGAAGATGCCTCTGGGGCCGAGAATTGGAGGTTTTGGTACCGTTTTGGAGGTACCATTTTGGAACGGAGAAACATCCGCTTCCACGCCCCTGCATCATGATCTTCGACCCCCCTCAATTGGGTTTGATCATTTACAACCTTTTCCCAGCTGTCCCAAACGCTCCAAACAAGCTCCAAACGTTCCAACGACGTTTTCCGTGTCCCCATCTCGGGTTCCAGAGCGGTCTCCAGTTCCACCACGAAATTGGCCAGGTCGGACTTCGTTTTCAAGAACTGGTCCCTGACCTACCACGTGACCGTTGCATGACAGGACCGCATTATACACCGAATCCGCATCGGATCGCGAAAAGGGAGGGCAGCAGCGCAGCAGCGAGATGTCCCTGCGAAGCCTGAACTTCCATTTGGACTCATTTGGGGGATTGGTCGTTCAACCTGGAGCCCTGGTCACCAGGTCTAATGGAAGCTTGACCTTCCTCTGGGGATGGTACCCATGCAATTTTGTAAAATTTACATTTGAGCCCGTTGCAAATTTGGACTACTCCCAATGTTACCATTTTCGCAAGAAACTTTGAGATGCGTAGAATAAGGGCAAGTGTCTTGACGATTTGGTTCCACCCCCTGCAGCACCAAATTAGGCTCCTTCCGGCATTGGCACATGCATGTTGCACGTAATCCCTGGACAATTCATTAATAACAACTTACTTGCTCTTGCTGCGGAAATTTGGTTTCACGTGGCCTTAACTTCTCAGGTAGTCACTTGATTCATGTGGATCATTTACATTGTTACGTTGTTCCCATGGTGTACAGATTGTTTGGATTACATACTCAACTCCCAGAGTTCCGGTGATACCGAAGGGTCGTGGGAAGCACCTCAGACAGAGTCCGCAAGTATCGTTGGTAGGTCAACCAAGTATCCTGGTGCCATGACCCATAGCCACTTTTCCCCACCAGAGTCACCATCCGCTCCTACTACCACATGGGGTCATGGTTGGGCTCTCATGTTGCGTGTCATTTTTAACTTTTTGTCCTGCGACGGACCAGTGCAAGCGCTGGTTGCGGTGGATGCCATGGTTACTTTTTCAGGGTCATGCAGCAATGCATTTGGGCGGTTTCAACCTTTCTCGTCTGACCTTTACCGGGATGATGAATCTCTATGATATATAATTAGGGGAGTTGAAACCGCCAAGCATGCATGGGGTTGTCTCAAAAAGTTCGAACCGTCAGATCAGATCGATGCGTTGATGATTCCACGCGAGGTCACAGAGTCCGCAGAAATCCATGCTTTCCGGAGAGAAGGATCCTCTTTCATCCTAAGGATCCTGCACCTACTCAGTCAGTGAATAACCTTTGGTCATCCTTTGTCATCCTTTGTCCCCAACTTGGGGCCAACAGATGGACACCCCACGTTCGGCTGGTCCAACAGGTGGACAGCCGAACGGCCGGCCGCGCTTTCCTCCGGCTGAATCCAAGGCTTCAGTGAAGCCGACTGGGAAGATGGTCTTGACCAATCAATGGCGCCCACTCTCACTGGTCCACCCTTTAATCCCTTTAATTAGGCGTGAAACAGTTTGACCCCGGTCCAAACCGGGTCCTGAAAACCTCACTGAGAGTAGTGTTTTTTGTACGAGCAACCTCAATAAAGAGAGGCCTTTGACCCGTAGTAGGGTTAAGAGTGAATCCTGTTCAATACGATACGTGGACAGTCCATCCTAAACCTGGTCATGGCACAGGATTTGGCAGTGGGTCATGGCACCCGGCTGGGGTTCCAACGGAACATGACCAGAATCGATGCCCCCAGACATGGTATTCGACCCGCCGACCCACCATATGCTGCCCCTCGAGCCACTGCGAGGAGAGAGCGTCAAGGATTTGGCGGACTACGCACGATCAGAGAGCTTCGAGGTTTAACGACTCGGGAAGTGGCTCAAAAACAAAAGCAACTATAGTAACTAGTGCAGGTCTGACACAGCCTTGTATATCATCAGACATTTGACATTTGTGTCAGACTGTCAGTCAGATCTCAAGATTTGTACCTTCCGACAGGCAAAGTGCTTGGTGATTCCCCAACTTGATCCAATTTGTGCCGGGAACCCCTGAGAACATTTCACTTCTTGAGCTGCACCGGGCGTTCGGTTTCGGCGACCCGAGCTGGAGCGGACGAGCTTGGTCTCCTGACGTTCGGCAAGATGTCTTGTGGAACAACCTTCAAACAAATGAAAACCGAGGCACAGCTATGGTTGAGTGGAGATCGTCTACAATGCAGGATGGGCATGACTTTTTCTACCAGATTAAACTGGCTGTAGCTCAAATCATACCTTTCATGGCTCATCCTCGCCGCGTCTCGTGGATGCCAAGAACGCTACGCAGCCACGCGCATCATAGCGCAAACCCGGCGGTTCGGCTCCTCCAAAGAGAGAGCACCGCGGGCGACGATTCCAAAACGCCCGGTGCTCCTGAGGGGCTGGGCCGCTGGGCCTTTCGCGCGAAAAGGTGTGCCTTTCAGAAAAAACCGTAGGGCTGTGGGTTTGGCCAACCACACAGGCAACGTTGTATGGCCGGGAGTACCGAGAGGTGCGCATGGCAGTGCATGGCTTCATCCTGTTCCTATTTGGCTGTGGGTCAAAAACAGGGGGACCCTGGCTGACCAAGCTACTAAGGAGGTCAACTTACCAGGGTTTCGGGCCATTTGTTTGTTGCTTATATGTAGACTTAACGGACTGCTCGCTGGGAACGTGGGTTTTCGCGGGGTTTTCGCGGGTCCTCTCTGGTCCTTTTGAGCGGAGGAAACAAGTCTTTGGTGGCAGTTGATGGGATCAGTGTTGGAATCAGGTCTCCTACTCTATCATAAATATGACTCGATCCACGACTCTAGATGGTGATCATGAGTGAGGTTTAATGTGGCCGAGGTTCCATTGGGCTCTGAATCTAGCATCGAACAGAGACTAAATAAAGAGTGATCTGCATGAGTATCTCAAAAGCACTTTCAGCATTTTTCAGCACCGTTTCGAGCAGCTGCGATTTCGAGAGAAGCCGAACCCACAGGACTTTGTAGGCTCCCAGGTACCTGATCTCTTCAGTTTTTGTTGCATCACTGAAGATTTGCTGCATCCAAATCCAAGTCGTGTAGTTTGGGACGTGTCCGCTGATTTTGCATGACTCATCCTGCGTCCTCCATGTGCCCTCACAGTCACAGTAGATCCCTTTGGGCACCACGCATTTGTCGAATTCTGTTTAACTTGGATCATTGCAAGCATCGAACTCTTATCAAGGAGTGCACCATGTCATTTTCCACTTCTGCTGACCGGACCGTAACTTTTGGCGTAAGACATCCTAAGACTCGGCGTCATTTTTGCCGGTCTCGACTTCCACTCCCCAGTTGGGAGAAGGCACCAAATCAGCTGTGGGTTTTCTTGAAAACCCAGTATATGTTGACGCTTGATGAACCTTTTATGTGGAGATGTAAAGCCAGTCTAGAGACATTTTTGTTGTTCATCAACAGTCCAACATGACATGTTTTGCTTTTCCTTGGGTACCTGGGACTCCCGTTTTCACTTGGGCCAACGCGCGTGAGAGACGGAAGCGCTGGTTTCGGGCAAAGAGACGGCTTGGAACGTGGCAAAAGGACGGGTCAGGAGCGGCAAGGGAATGGTCGAGTACACTCCGAACTAACATGGAAGTGGAGAAGTGGAGTGGAGTTCGCCCCCTTTTTGTTTTTTTTGAAAATGGTCTCCCAAGGGGCCATGCCATCCATGTAAATGTAACCATGATAGTTCTAGGGATTGGATACTCAACCAGGCACTTGGATTTTGGAGGCACCCAACAGGCAGCAAGGCCAGCAAGGCCTGGGTGTCTTATTTTTTGGGGGCGAACAGAAGTCGTGGGTTTCATGCAGCAATTCATCCGAATCATGTCATGAGGTTCATCATGTCATATATGTTTTGAGACGTTCAGGATCCTTCCACGCCCATGTTTTGACTCCTCTTTGACCCTACCGCACCTCTTCAGCCAGAAATTCTCCCCGACCTCTTCACCACCTAAACCTACACGCGTCGCTCGGACCTCCGAAAACCAGGCCTACGTCTTGGTGATGCAGCCCAGGAGGATTGCAGCCACCACCTTGGCCGTGCGGAGCCTAGTGTTCACGCGAACGTCTGCGGTCTGCGGGTTCCGCCTCAGACCCGGCCCTCAGACGGTCATTGTTCGGCGGCTTTTTCTGCTGTTGGACAGTGAGGATGGGCGTTTGTTGGTCTTTTTTTTGCAAGTCAGACGTGCGTATGCAAGACGTTCTTCTTTTTTGGCAACATGAACCAGACACAGTCTGTGTGGGGTGGAACCGGAAGTGGAAACCCATCTGAGGGACTCCGCAAGAGGGCAGCATGCTGACATTGCTCGCTTTACGTGGTCTTGTGCGGCTCTATAACCAGCCTTGGCCTTTTGTACTTATTGTCTCTGCACAAACAAGCTGGGGGCAAAACAGTAGACAATCTGTTGTTGTCTTGCCTTTACTCTTGCGTTGGTAGACATCCAGTTGTATGAGCACCCCTACTTCTTGCCCAGCCCCACTGCGGAGGAACGCATTGCTGCGGAGCGGTGCCAAAAGCTGGGTGTTGATGTGGGTTACCAGGCACAGCGGGACGGAGACCGGACCGGAGGCGAACCTTCGGAGGCGGTCGGTTTTGGGCTTCGGCTTCGGGTGGAATCCCAACACGCTCGGCCTTCGTTGTGTCCTGCCGGGGGTTCTTGCCTCGAGACTCCGCCGTTGGGGTCGGGTCCTGGGAGGTGGGACGGCTCGCGGTGCCAAACAGTGAGCCGTTCGAGTTGGTATGGGGGTAATTACGTAGTATACAGATGTGGAACGTTGAGCGTGGAAGGTCGAGTTGGGTGCTTTTCAACGTAACATAATGCTCCCTCAGAACAAACAGACTCCTCTCAAGAGATAGAAACATCAGAAAAGAGCTGTGGAAGACTCCTGGAAGACAGAACATCCCAGTCTAGCGATGCCTTTTCTACCAGCACCACAGCATTTCGGAAGACTGTTAACTGGATGGTCAACCTGGAGCCGGGGCCCCTCACCGTGGGGCCAACCCGACCTGTGTGGTGCTGGTCGACTTTGGTGTGGAGGGTGGCTTTTGGATGGCGCATCCGGTACGTCCCAGGTGCCTTCGGCCTCGTATTCCGAGAAAGCGCGCTTGGTCTTCTGCACCTTAGGGGCCCGGAGCCCAGCAACGGGCCCTTTTTGGCCATTTGGTTGTTTTGCTGAATGTGGAATGAGGGAGGAGAGAACATAAGACTCATCAAGACATATTCTCACTGCGATCCCTGACAAAGCAACCCACGGAACAGAGGGGTTTGCGGTTTGGATGTGTGATTCTCGACTGGATCCTATCTCACGTGTGTATCTCCAGTGACATTCATGTTCTCTGGTTTTGCAACCGAGAGTGTACTTGGCCGTCATCGTCATTCTCTGTGCCATCAGGATTCCAGACATTCTATGCTGGGGTTAGTACGGTTAGCAGCACACGACTTCTGAAGAGAAGGGCTGAGACACAGCGGGGGCAGGCAACTCTCAAATGCGCCTGCTGTTGGAACACACACGAGATGCGCCTTAGCTGTTGGAACCGCAGACCAGTCCAGTAACAAACCCTTCAGGATTCTCATGGATCGTCCACCCTTTGCTGAGCTGGTGCCCTGTTGGAGGTTGGAGAAGAACAAAGGTACCCGGAGAAAGCTTGATCCTGTGCCCACATGCTCCGCTTCTGAAAGGTTCAGTGGTACATGTTCCAACGAACTGTTTGAGTTCCAAGCAACTGCTCCATTCCGCAAACGTTCAGGTACAGCTACCAGGGGATCCGGGATCCAACATCTCTTTGGTCGGGTGTTTGATCATGAGCAACCAAACTCATTACAACCACCCCCGCCGTGCCCTTCCGCATCAATCACTCCCGAGACATCCAAGCATTCAACAACAATTCATCTCCCCCGCGGAAGATTTTCACTTCCAATCGGCCGGGATCTGCCCATTGGAGTTGACCCAAGGAGTTGACCCAATATTCAAGCAAACCCAGGGTGTTGACCCTTCTCACTGCTGACCGTCCCTTGGGAGGCTCCGGGGGAGTGCCGTCCGAGACGAGCGTCTCTCTGGTCTTTCGGCGCGTTTCTCCAGGTCTTTCGGCGTAGGCTGCTGCTGGATCCAGACCTGGTGGGCATCACGCACATCATTTTTGATGAGGCAGAGTTGGGGTGGAGACTCGGAGGAAGTATCGCCAAGGCATGAAGTGAGTGGTGGAGAAAAGAAATGGGCTAGAAACCCACTCAAGCAGACTACGCTAGTAGGAACAAGAAGCTACTAGTAACAAGTGCCACGCTACTAGGAACAAGTGCCTTACTAGTAGTAACAAGAAGCTACTAGGAACAA